CAGAGGCCTTTTCTTTCTTTGTCATTTCCTTGCCAGTACACATATGGCATGGGAGGAGGCCTGGCTGACAGAGGCAGAACGGCCATTTCCTACAGATACTCCAGGACAGAGGCCAGCATGCTGCCTGGGCTCACTCTCCTCAGAGGATTCACTCAGAGTTTTGCCATCAGTATTCCTCAATCTCGGCCACGCAAACATTTTTTTTCCCCCACCCGCCAAATGTAACCACAGTAAAAAACACACACTTAAGTCCTAAGAAGAAAGGCAATTAGCTGCTAACAACTGCAGCAGCCCTGAGGTAAAGGGCAAGGGCAGCCTCTGCCACTCCCACCCTGGAGAGGGCCACCCACATACAGCAAGGGCATTAGGGCATTTCATACTCCTCTGAGCTATCGCAGTTAAGATCGGCATATTCAGCAGACAATGGAATGAGCCATTCCTGCTCTGGCTGGCTCTGCCTTACCACAGAAATAGCTCCTAGCTATTCCATTTTCCAAGCACCAGTGAATTTCAATATCCTTTAAGCACCAGGAATTACCTCCCTCTCTTTCCAGCTGGTACTGGCATTAGCACAGCTCCTGTTATGCTTCAGATAAGTCACGAACGGTTTTTTTTCTTAGCAAAATGACTTCAGATTTATTCAAAAAGTTACCCAACTTCACCTGGCACAGGTACAAAACAAAAAGCACCCCTGCATTCAGGTGTGGCATGAGACAAGATGACACCATGTCTCCATGGAAAAAGGATTTACTGCACAGCAGAAATGCCAGGGCACTGATGCAGGAGCGGAAGCAAAGCTCTTCCAAGTCTCTCAAATTGCTGTGATGATCATGTGACTGTTGCACTCTGTCCTAGATCCTTTTCTTTGACAAAGCCAAATATCAGCACTGAAAGGGGAGGCCCAAGGACAGAAGGGTTACACCAAATAGCAAATGTGACCCTCAGCAGAAGTTTTTTCAAGAGACTCTGTGGCACTCAGACACTTAGCTGGAGATCAATGCAGAAATAAATTGGAAGAGTGTCTAGTCACCCTGGCCAGTGCTCCAGAGGCTAAAGAAAGGCTGAACTGGGCTCACTGCTGGTCAGAGCACCTAGTAAACAAGCTGCTTGCCCACAACAGGGCCCCAAAGAGGAGCAGGCCAGACGTGGAGCACTGTCCCAGCTGGTGGTTTGAACATTAGTTTCTCCGTTAGTCTTGGTCACGGCCCATTTTGCCCGTCAGTCTCCGTCGCTGAGTCTTGGTGGTTCGCCCCGTGCCGGACTTTTGGATTTTCTTCCGTGGACCTTGCCCACGTTGGGATCTCTTTCCTTTCGTCTTTTTCTGGCTGTGCATGTGCAGCGTGGCAGTAAGAGCAGAGATTCTGTGCAGGGCAGAAAGAGAAAAATGTTTGGGGACTAAAGGCTGCAGAAACAAGGCGACACCACAACAGTAGCCGAAGAGCCCTTGTGTGACTCTGCAGGAAAGGATGCCAGCCATGGCATGCCCGAGAGGAACTCCAAGCTGTGCAGGAAACCTGCAAGCCTCCATGTGCAGTAACAACCAAAATTAATTTTGGGATCAGTGGGCTGCCCAGACACTACAGAGTTAAGTAATTTTCCACACCCTCAGAGTAGTAATAAAACCTGGACACTCAAAAATGTGGAGAACGCCAAAGCTTTCAGCTTTAAGATCTTTTGACCTTCAACCCTAGAGAGAAGTTCCGCATCCTGTAGTATGTGCCGAGACGAAGGACTAGGTAAAGAGGAGAGCACGAAGCCCACTCTCCTCCTCCAGCCGCTGTCACCGGAGCCCGCGGGATGGGCCCGGAGCGTCCGGGCAGCCTGTGCTCCGCCAGCGGCCCCTGCTGGCTCCTGCCCGCAGAGACCGGGCAGCACCGCATCCCCTCCTGCAGCCGCGCCGCGAATCCGGAAAGCAAATCCAGTCCTCTGGATCAGCTTCCAGAGACTAACAGCAGCAAAAGCCTGAATGAATCTATACATACTTGTCAGACAGGAAAGGGTTTCTGGACTTCTTGGGCATTGCTCTTACAGGCTTGTTCGCCACCTCTTCCCCTTTCTCTTTGTCTTCTGATCCATCACTTTTTCCCTTAAAAAGAAAACAGTTTTGTGATTCTGGCATTTCCATTGACTTTTCGGTTTCATCCTATTTTGTGAACCATCTAGTCACAGATGAAGATTTTTAATTCTCCACATCCCTTGCTATGCAAGTCTCAAGGTTTCTTATCGCAGTCCCTTGGAAAGGGATGACCAGTGACCTATAGTAATCCACCCTAAGATCCTAAAACTTCAGCATGATCTTAACGGCCATGCAAATGAAGTCTAAATTATGAACCAAAGGTCTCAGCTTTTTCCTTAAATTACTATCAAGACCTCTTTAAGTGGATTTTCAGATTAGAAGATGACCTTACAAATGTAAAAGGTTAACACAGACACTTCCCCAAAGAGCTCAAATCCAGCCACAAGTCACGAAGATTAAAAGAGATCAAGTCAACCAGTACCTGAGAGTCTCTATAAAACAAATATAAGATCTCAGTTACAATGTATTTTGAGAATAAAAGCAACCACAACCAGAACTAAATGGTTTCCTTATTTGTGGTCCAAGCACAGGACCATAGAGAGAGAAATCCCTCCTAACAGTAATAGTAATTTTTCTGGACAGGACAGGGGAAAGAGTTTGAGGACAGTCCACACAGCAAAGTCTGAAATCTTGCTGCTTGTTGTGTTGTATCGGCTTTTAAAGTACTACAATGTTGCCATCCAGTCCTGTGCCACCTTTCACTTAATCAAGGTCAGGTGGAACAAGCAAAGGATTCCAGGAGTTTGGAGTGAACTATTCACACAGGACATTTCCTCCTCTTTAGAGGCCCAACATAAGCTGTGGAAAAATACGAAAGTTACGACTTTCCCTTTTCATCCCTGTTCCCAGCCAGCTGCAAGTCTTTAGGCATATTCAGGGAGCACTAGCCAGCCCTAAGAATGTTTACAGCTGATACAATCAGAGAGGTAGCAAGAGGCTTTACCACAGGGGTGGTCAGTCCCAGCTGGCGTGCCCCTGAGAGGTCGAGGTCACTGATGGTGGTCACTGTTACGATGTGGTTTGGGTGGTCAATGTTCACAGATTCTGTCCACGATGTCACCAAGTGCTCCAGTTCATCAGCCTCATCTGGGAAGACAAAGAAATCCTGCACTGCAAAGTGCCAAACTTCTCACGATTTACACTGCTGTTCCTGCTGCACTGTGCTGGGGAGGGGTGACACCCAGCCATCGCAGGCAGGGCTTGAACACCAGCACTATAGGCATGGAGGGCAAGCTCATTCTCCTTGCTGTGGGGACCTGGGTGAACACCTTGGAGATGCCCTCCCGCCTCCTTCCCTTCTGTACAACCCACTTGACCTCCTGTCCCCCAGGGCCAGAGGGCTGTGGGGTCACCGCTCAGATCGCTGCCCAGCTTCCCAGGGGGACATGGGAGGAGCGAGCAGCTGCTGTTTCGGGACAATGTGCGAGCATCCCTGCCCCAGCCCTTATCACCCCAGGACCACAGGCATCCCTCTTTCTTCCCACCCGAGGGCCCAGCACGTACCGAGTGCCTCCTCCCTCTCGTTCAGCATCTTCAGGTACTCCTGGTGCCGCTGAAAGATGGAACAGGTCACTGCGGCGCCTCTGCCGCCCCTCCTGCCCCGCTCCCAGCCCACCACGGCGGGGAGAGGGGGGGGACACAAGACCGTTCCCTCACCTCCTCTTTCATCTTTCTCTGCTCCTCTTTTAGCTTCCGTTTGATCTCCTCCAGCGCCGCTTTCCTCCGCTCCACCTTCCGCTTGTGGAAGCCGGTCAGGTACTCCCTGCCGCCGGCAACACAGAGCCCCCCCCCGGCTTTTAGCGACCGGGGGATGCCGTCCTTCCCCCCTCCTCGCCCTTGTCCCGCCCGGCCTCACCTCCGCCTCTCCTCATCGAAAGTCAGCACCAGCCGCCCCTCACGGCCGCCCGGGCCCTTCTTCTTCTTGCGGCCCATGGCTGTACCACGCTGCTGCCGCTGCCGCCGCCGCTGCCCGCCCCTTCCGCCGCCGCGGGGCCCGAGGGGCGGCCCCTGCCCCGCCCGACATTTTGTGCCGCCCGCCCCCTCCGGCTCGAGCAGGGCAGAGTAGTCAGGGTCAGGGGCGTTCCAGGCTCCTGTTCCCGGCCTTAGCATCCAGCGTAGAGTGGACAGGGGGTTGCGTCAAGCATGGGAACCTCCAGCTCCACTCCACTTCCCTCTTAGCAAAAGATTTTATGGCACTTCCCGGTGCGGACGTGCCAGTGCAGCACCCGATCTCACACCCTTTGTCCTGCCGCTCCTAAGTGATTTAAATCTACATCTCTTTAATAGGGGTCACTCCTCTAATAGTTTAAATTTGCAATTCTTCATTTGAACACGCTTCAATAAAGCTCTGAGCTACTGTCATTGCTTGGTGTTAGTGATGCCTGTGCTGCTCCTCTTAGCCAGGGAAGGCAATTGCAAGGGACGGCTCCGACACCGAGTATCCAAGATGCAGGACCTGGCTGGACTGCTGTGGTTTTTGTAGTGGTGGTGAAAGGTACTGGCACGAATTCGTGGGGGCATCAAGACTGCCATGTTTTTGGCTGATGGCTGAGTGACTTTGGCTGAACTCTTGAACTTTTATTGCCTCCCTGTTCTTGCCTTAAAAATGGGTGTAATACCTCTGTGTTGGCCAGCTGACTTTGGTAGAAGTTCCTGAAGTGCTGTAGGGGCAGCCAAAGCCAACTCCCACCAGCCCACAGAGTGTGACAAGTCCTGACACAAGTCCTGTCACAGCCTGGCGGGCACTTGTCCAGAGCCAGCTCTCCTTTATCAGCTTGCTTGCTGCTTGTGCTCTTTTCCTGGCCCGTCCTTTCGCCAGCAGAAATGCGGAAAAACCAGTTCTGTGGTTAATTGCTGCACTTCCCTCCACGCCCATGGGGCAGGTCTCCTCCTCCTCCTCACTTACAGTCTGGGTGCACTTCAGCCTCCAGCCTCTTTGCCCCTGCCTGTGCTCAGCCAGCTCAGGTGCACCGGCAGGCCTCCGTACCCTTTCCATTAACCTTAAGGCTTTTCTTGCCTTCCCCTTTTCCATCCGTCTGCCAGAGCTTGTCTCTCTGGTGGCTTCTTCTCCCTTGGGCAACCCACTGCGTTGGCCTGCAGGTGCATAAGGCACAGGCAGCTGCCTTCCTGGCCCTGTCCTGCCCTGCCTGCGGGGATACCATTAGGAGAGGATGGCCGGAGGAAACGAGCGGAGCATGAGGGCCCTGAAGGAGGTGTGGAAAAGAGCAGAAAACTCTTTGTGTGCAGACTGCGGGAAGCCAGGTGAGTGGTCGAAGGATGCTGGAGGAAGAGTTGGAAGCAAGGAGCTGGGCCTGGTCTCTAGCAGCTATTTGATGCTGGCTATCTGGACTGCACAGGAGCCTGGGGTGGAGAGGAAGGGAAGACATTGCTCTGGATATTCGTTTCCTCTCCCTGGAGGTGTGTTGGCAAGGGAGCAGGAAGGAGATGCTGCAACAGCACTGGTGGGAAGAAGGACAGGGATGTGGGAGTGCTAGATAAGCAGGGGCTGCATAGCTGCAGCACTGTGGGTTGTAGTCATGTTAGCTCTCAAATACAAATCAAGGTCATGCCCAGTCAGGACCTGACAGGAAAGCTCCCAGTGAAATCCTAACTTCTCCAGAAAGAAGGCATGATTCAGGAGGGCATTGTCTCCTCCATGACTCAGCTCTGAACTGACAACCTGCCACACTCGCCTAGGAGATTACATTTACTGAAAGGCTAGCCCTCTCAAAAGGGTACCCAGTTTGAGGTCCTACAAATGCTGCTAAAACCCCCTAAACGGAGCACTCAAGCCAAATTAGGACTGGACTAATTAGTACCATTTTATCTTATTAAATTCTTCCAGGAAAATTTTAGATTCAAGGTTGTTTTCCACTTCCTGAACAAGATACTGTTGAGGGTTTGCTATGATGCACTAAACAACTCCTAGAGTCTTTTCCCAGAGGTGGTTTTATTTTCATCTTGGGTGACCCTTTATGCAAAGGGAGCACTTTGAAGTTTTTCAAGGTATACATTAATAAAGATTCAGACAAAGTGGCTGAAACAGAGAGAATGAGGGACTAATAGCTGTGTTTTTTCCTGACTGGCATCTGTATCTTGGGTGTTAATTAATCAGCTCAGATGAAACTGTCATCACCCAGCTCTCTGTTTCTCAGGACTACATTCTCAGGTGGGGCATATCTGCCAGGAAAATTCATCACTTCTAGTCATACCCTTTTTTATACTGTCAGATCCTGACTGGGCATCCTCTACTTTGGGTGTCTTTATATGCCTCAGCTGTTCAGGAATTCATCGCAACATCCCTAGCATCAGCAAAGTCAAATCCCTGAAGATGGACCACTGGGATGATGCTCAGGTGCAGGTGAGATCTTTATCCCCATTGGTACATCAGGTGGGTTGGGTCTAGGCTATACACCAAGTGTCCTGAAAAAATTAGCCCTTTGACCTCACAGGGTTGGAGATGTAACCTGATTTAACTTGTTCCTTTTCTACTCATGCTCCTGATACTCAATCAGGGATAGCTCCCCATAACTCACTGGGAGAGGGAGGATGCACTTGTCTTATGTACCTCCCTGTGCCCTGTTACTTTATGGCAAAGGCAGAGCTCCTGCAATGTATCTTGCTAAGGCTAAGGGTCTTTGTTGCTCCAGGTTACTTATTTTCCACTTGCCAACACCATCCAATCTCAATGTCTTCTTTTGATTTCAACAGTCCAAGGGGAAAATCTTGGGAAATTCCATTCTCTGAGAAGAGTTTCCAGATATAATATGATTTTTTGAGAAAAATGGCATTCATAGAAACTTGACTTCTCCCCATTACAGTCCCCTCAATTCACTAATCTCCAGGGGACTAAAAATATTTTCTAGAGATCCAAAAAAAATAGTCTGTATCTTGTTGCTCTTTGGAAGAGGACCAAAGAGGTTTGGAATGGCCTCCCAGATGGCGTTGCAGAGCTGTTGTTGAACTCTCCAGGAGATGTGGGGCATGGCAGCAAACCCACTGAATGTGTGTGCATCCAGCCCCACGGAAGTGACATTTATGGCATGCTGTTGATTCAGGTGCAATCAGTGTAACGTCTGAGAGTAGATGAGACCTTTGAGACCCACCTCTCTGTAGCCAGACTGCTGGGATGTTGCAATGGAGAGGAAAGAGAATGCTCCATTAGAGCTAGATATGCATCTAGCCCTGTAGTGGGTTAGAAAAGAAAAAGGTCCACATGAGTCTGCATCAAAGGCAAGGCACTAACTCTCTGTCTAACCCTACAGTTTCTGGCCAAGCATGGGAATGCTGTGACTAAAGCCACATATGAAGCTCACATCCCTATTTACTATTACCAGCCAACCTACAATGACTGCCAGTAAGTTGCTGCATACAGAAGGGGGAAGGGCAATTCTCTGTCAGTTCTTCTAGTTTGTTTCTGAGTTACCTGTCACCTCTCTCCTTAGAGTGCTGAGAGAACAGTGGATACGGGCCAAATATGAACGCAAAGAATTCACCGAGCTGGGAAAACAGCTGCCATATTCTGATGGTAAGAGCAGAGCACAGCATCAAAATGTCCTGACTGTTGCCTTTGCTGGAAACTTCCCACCATCATGAAGTGTCAGTGTTGCAAATCCCACAAGTACTCCTGAGAACCAAACTGGTACTTACTGGCATTGTTTTGGGGGGATTAAATTGTGGGAAGCATAGGCTGGCACTGGCACAGGTTGCATCCAATCCTGGTATTACCAGCTGGAATTTTTCAAAGGCATTTGATGTCCTGATGGAGACAGACCTCTGCAGTAAGGAATTTCTGTCCTATTGCATGCCACCCTCTCTAACCATGGCTGTTGGCTTTGAAATGTCACTGCCAGTGCTGTGACAAAGGGTGCTGCAGCCCAAAGGCCTGCAAAGTCAAGTGGGAAGAGTTCTGGTCCCACACCAGAGTCTGCATGGGCCAGGACTCTGGTGTTCACAGGAGACAGCTCTCATGCTATCAGAAGCAGCAGTGAGAGAAAGACTAAGAGGTGGGAAGAATCTGGGAATGTCTTTTGGTGAGCATTTATCTGAGCTGCAAACCCAGGAACACCACCATCTTCAGTTGTAAGTCAGAGGTGACACCTCTCAAGTGTTTGTTTTCAGCAGTAGTCCATCATATGCTTTATCCCAGAGAGGTGGCTGGGACCTCTGGCTGTGTGCAGCTCTCTGATGCCTACAGTGCTCATGGGGGGTGCTATTAAAAGTGCCTTTTCTGCTCCTAGGGGTGAAGGAAGGCATCCTCTGGAAGCGAGGTCGAGACAATGGGCAGTTCCTACCCCGCAAGTTCCTCTTGTCTGAGAGAGAGGGATGTCTGAAGTATTTCACCAAGCAGGATGTGAGTATGGTGGTCAACTCCCACCTCAGTGAGTACTCCACCCAGAGCAGCAGGGTCACAGAGATGTTCTGATTTCCTATGCATGTTTCTGAGGTTGCCTTGCTTAGCCCAGCCCGGGGATGATAACAGAAATGTCACAGAGGAGAGGTGTCCCCTTTTCACTGTCAGGGGGACATTTCCTCATGTTCTCCCTTTGTGCTTCCCTCACCGCTGAGAAAAGGACTGATCTTTCACTTCATCCCTATCCGTTTCCCTGGATGTGTAATCCTGCACCATCCCTGGAACCAACCTCACCCCATTGTGAGCCAAGTTGGCAAAAACCTGTTCTCTGGTTGGTTTTGAGAAGGGCTACTTTTCTGCTCGTTCATCTCCCTGAAATGAGTGGGGCAAGTCCTAATATGCTGTCACAAAGGAGGGTATGGCTCAGGGTAGGGAAGAGCAGGAGATGTCCAGAGGGGACCTGGACAAACTTAAGAAGTGGACCAATATGGTTTAACAAGGCCAAATGCAAGGTCCTGCACCTGAGTTGGGCAATCCCTGGTATCAATACCAGCTGGAGGATGAAGGGATTGAGAACAACCCTGCAGAGAGGGATGAGGGGGATAATGGATGAAAATGTGGTCATGAGCTGTCAACGTGCGTTTGCAGCCCAGAAGCCAACCGTAAGCTGGGCTGTGCCAAAAGAAGTGTGACAGGCAGGTTGAGGGAGGTGATTCTTCCCCTCTACTCCACCTTTGTGAGACCCTACCTGGAGCACTGCATCCAGCTCTGGGGCCCTCAGCAAAGGAAGGTCATGGACCTGTTGGAGCAGGTCCAGAAGAGGGCCACAAAAATGATCAGAGGGCTGGAACACTTCTTCTGTGAAGACAGACTGAGAATGTTGGGATTCAGCCTACAGAAGAGAAGGTTCTGAGGAGACCTTCATGTGGCCTTTCAAGTATTAAAGGGGATTTATGAGAAAGATGGGGACAGACTTTTTAGCAGGCCTGTTGTGATAGGACAAGGGAGATAATGGTTTTTAACTAACAGAGGATAGATTTAAACTAGATATAAGGAAGAATTCTTTTACAATGAAGGTGGTGAAACACTGAAACAAATTGCTCAGAGAGGTGGTGGACACTCTATCTGAAAAAGTTTGAAGTCAGGCTGGATTGGGGCTCTGACCAACCCGATTTAGCTGAAGAGTTCCCTGCTCATTGCAGAGAGGGTCGGACTAGGTGGCCTTTAAAGGTCTCTTCCAACCCAAATGCTTTTAGGATTCTATGATTCAAAGAGTGGGCTCTTTCCTTTTGAGATCAGTTAGCCTTTAGACTGGCTCAGCTGTAAAGTCAAAAACGCTCTTAGTGTTTCACTGGCACTTCCAGAGTAAGCACAGCTCAAATCTAAATTGGGTGGGTTCGGCCACTGTTTGGTCTTGAGCACACCACATAGTGAAGGGCGTGTGTGATACATTTTGTTGGGAAGGGTCAGTTATTACTTTTTAAGATCCTCTGACCCTGTCTTGCCCCACTTAGTCAATAGCTCAGGTCTCTTTCTTCTAGATTGCTCATGCGTGATCAATGCCATTCTGTTTTCAGGCCAAAGAACCCAAACTTAATGTTAAAATAGATGTCATCAATGCTACGTTCCAGCCAGAGAAGATTGGGAACCCCAATGGCCTGCAGATCACCTATCTCAAAGACAACAAGACCCGTAATATATTTGTCTACCATGAAAGTGGAAAGGTATCTGGTTTTAGCATCAAACACTGCAAAGCCAATGAGGTGCTTTGAGAAGCTGCTGATATTAAATAGTGTGAAACATGGGTAGGATGGGGTGTGTGAGTGTGAGTTGCTGTAGGTAACAGGGCGGGGGTTCTGGCTCTGTGTTTGTGTATCTGTGGGAGAGTTTTGCTGCAGGGAGCAGGGCAAGAGCACTGGCTGAGTTGGTTTGTGTGGGAGGAGCTGCTGTAGACCATGTGGAGATGTGCTGCCTGTGCATGTGGGGAATGGGTCAGCCGTGCTACAGGCCTGTCAGTCTCACTCCAGTGCCTGGGAAAGATGTGGAGGTATTGAGAAACACCTGAAAGACAATACAGTCGTTGGTCACAGCCAGCATAGTTTCATGAGAGGAAAGTCCTACTTATCAAACCTGATTTCCTTCTGTAACAAGATAACCCACCTAGTTGATCAAGGGAAGCCATTTGATATAATTTTTTTTTAATTTCAGTAAAGCTTTTGATACTGTCTCTCACTGTATCCTTCTGGACAAAGTGTCCAGCACACAGCTGGATAAACACATCGTGTGGTGGGTGAGCAATTGGCTCACGGATCAAGCATAGAGGGTGATAGTGAATGGGGTAACATCAGACTGGCGACCTGTCACAAATACGGTTCCACAGGGCTCCATCTTAGGCCCTGTGCTCTTCAACATCTTCATAAATGACTTCGATGTAGGATTGGAAGGGATACTAAGCAAGTTTGCCGATGACACAAAACTGGCAGGAGCTGTTGACCCCCTCGAAGGCAGGGAGGCCCTGCAGAGAGACCTTGACAAATGAGAGGGCTGGGCAATCACCAACCATATGAAATTCAACAAGGAGAAGCGCTGAATTCTGCACCTGGAATGGGGCAACCCTGGATGTTCATACAGACTGGGGAATTAGATGCTGGAAAGCAGTGCCATGGAAAGGGACCTGGGGGTCCTGTTTGATGGCAGGTTGACTATGAGTCAGAAGTGCCCTGGCAGCCAGGACGACCAACCATGTCCTGGGGGGCATCAGGCAAAGCATCGCCAGCTGGTTGAGGAAGGGGATTGTCCTGCTCTGCTCTGCACTAGGGTGGCCTCATCTTGAATATTGTGTGCATTTTTGGGCACCATAATATAAGAAAGATATTAAGCTGTTAGAGAATGTCCAAAGGAGGGCAACAAAGATAGTGAAGGGCCTTGAGGGGAAGCCATGTGAGGAGCAACTGAGGGCACTTGGTCTGTTCAGCCCAGAGAAGAGGAGACTGAGGGGAGACCTCATTGCAGTCTACAACTTCCTCATGAGGGGGAGAAGAGGGGTAGACACTGATCTCTTCTCTGTGGTGACCAGTGACAGAACCTGAGGGACTGGCCTGAAGTTGTGCCAGGGGAGGTTTAGGTTGGATATTAGAAAGAGGTTCTTTACCCAGAGGGTGTTTGGGTGCTGGAACAGGCTCTCCAGGGAAGTGGTCACAGCACCAAGGCTGAGAGAGTTCAAGAAGTGTTTGGATGATACTCTCGGTCACATGGTGTGACTCTTGAGGATGGTCCTGTGCAGGGCTAAGAGTTTGACGCGATGATCCTTGTGATCCTCCCAACACAGCATGTTCTGTGACTCTGTGATTCTGTGCTGGCTGTCTGCAAATGAGGGAGATGCTGAGAGTGCTGGGGAAGGAGAGCTGACTGTGTTTGTAGTTAACATAGGGCTAGGTGAATTTAGATGGCTCACTGTTGCTCTGGCTAAGCTTTCTATCCTGTCCTTTTCCATTTTCAGGAGGTAGTGGACTGGTTCAATGCCATTCGCTCTGTGCAGTTCCATTATCTGAAGGTAGCATTTCCCATTGCCAGCGATAATGAGGTAAGACAGCACTAGAACGCAGTGCTTACGTGGTAAAGGAGCTCATTAGTTAATATTATAACCCCAGGTACAGAAGTGGAAATTGCAGTGTCTAGATAGAGGGATGAGAATGTATGTTTAAAAGGGCCTGTGGCGGTCAGAAAACAACTGCTTTCTGCTGTTTCTGGGCATTTTGGAAGCAGAAGTGACTCCTGGCTAGGCAGTTCAGGAAATATGAATTTAGGAGATGGCTGAATTTGAGGGAAGGTGACTGAATTGGAAGGGCAGAGGGGAAACGAATAGCAAAGAAGCACAGCTAGGTGAATGTTACTCTTGCCTTTTTGTCAGATTAAAAATCGTCTGACGAGAAATTTCTTGAAGGAGGGATACATGGAGAAGACTGGTCCCAAGGTGAGCTGCTATGTTAGAAAAAATCTTAACAGAGACCTGCCAGAGAGCCGCTGGCTTTCCCAACCTCAGTGTTTTTCTCCTGCTGTTTCCCCATTCCCCCCTGACTCTTTAGACACCCGTGGGAACAGTGTGTGTGCACCAAGGGAGGGGAGAATTAAAGGAAGGGGAAGGACACATGTGAAAGTAGATGAAGCCAGAGTCCCTGCTTTCTCCCAGAGCGACAGATCTCTCTGCATGTGTCTGTGTGTGCGTGACCTTACAGGTATTTAGCGTCTAGATTTCTCCTGTCTCAACTTTGGAGTCCTTCACCACAGTCCAAGAGTTGGGGACAGCAGCTGGGACTGAAAAACCCGATACTGACCCCCACTCTCAGCTGAGAAAGGGCGAGGAGGAGGTTGCAGTTAAGGCAGGGGCTTGCTTTAAGTGGTTGGGATGAATTTTGGGTATCCATTCGTACTGCTCACAGCAGGGGGCACTGTCCCCTTACATATGTCACCTCTTCCCTTCACAGCAGAGAGAGGCCTTTAAGAAGCGCTGGTTCACACTGGATCACCGCAGACTCATGTACTTCAAGGATCCTTTGGTGAGGGGGAGATCTGACTGCTGGGCAGCTGCAGGCAACCGTGCTGAGGGCAGGGTCAAAGTGCAACCAGAATCTTTGCTCTTCAGTTAGGGTGGCTTGCAGGTTCCCCAGCTGCTCTGGATGGGCTCTAAGTCTTCCCCTTTCCATCCCACTCAGGTCACATGCTTTCTGTGTTTGTTTCGCTGCCTGCAAACAATGGTAACAGGGAGGGCAGCAGTGTAAAGGTGGTGATGGAAGGGTGACATGGAGGGACAGGAGCACCAGTTTCTCTCTCAGACTTCTCAAGACCTATGCCCTTAGATATTCCTTTTCACTACAGTCTTTGAGCACAGACTCCCTGCTCTTCTGAATTCCCTGACCACCTCCAAAACTTTTTGTTGCTACATCCCTGGTCCTCACACACTCTCTCCTGTTCTTAGGTGCATTGTAATTATTCCTTGATTCTTCTGGATTTCCATAAATCACTGTCTTTCCCTCCTGATGTGCAGGATGCATTTGCTAAGGGTGAGGTATTTGTGGGCAGCAAAGAGAATGGATATAGTGTCCAGAAGGGATTGCCTTCAGGGACACAGGGCAACTTCTCTTGGCACTATGGCATCACCATTGTCACCCCTGACCGGGAATACCTCTTCACCTGCGAGACAGAGACTGACCAGCTGGAGTGGATCAAAGCCTTCACTAGCGTCATCAACCAGGCCATGACACCACAGGAATATGCAAGTAAGTGCCTGGATGCTGTTTCCTTCCCCTCCTGCCACTCCAGTTCAGGGTATTGCCCTAGTTCACTGCCTTTTTTCCTTTACTACAGTTGAAGCCTACTTCAAGTTTAAATCCTAGGAAACCATTCAGGAACTATGACTCCACTCTACCCGGTCCTGTGGCTGTCAGGAGAGGAGAGCAGATTGACATCAGAGAAACACTGTGCTCTTGAAGCACCCTTGAAGCACTTTTGCCCCCACAGAATGTCCACTTGTTTTGAGGGCCCAATTAAGCTGCTTCCTTTCAAGTGCAAGACTTTGAGTCTGAATCTTCAGTACAACCTGTCCCTGTTAAATTGCTGTGATCTGACTGGATGCTGGCAGGTCTTGCCTATCAATCAGACCTTGAAAACTCTGGCACTTACTATGTTGGACATGGGACCTATCATCACTCCTGCATGAAACTGCAGCAGCCACCTACCTTACTCAAGAAAACAGCTGCCTGGCTGGAGCCAGGCACCCCAGCAGGTTGCAGGGGCTGCTGGACTAAGAGAACCTGTTCCTTTAAAAGAAATGTAATCTCTGCTGGTGACAGAGATGTGAAACATCTAGATATTTGATCAGTTAGAGCTGTAGTTGAGAAAGGTCACTTAAAAAATGTAACCTACCAGCCAAATGTGAGGCCTGTTTCCTTCTGCTCTGTATGGGCTTGAAAGTTTCTTCAGACTGCATTTGTGTGCAGACCGGCCTCTGATTGCTACAGAGGAGGTTAAGAGATCATCTAAAAATAATGTCTGAATATACATTTGAGTGTGTGGATAATGTACGTGTGTGTGTGCGCACATAACAAAAAGTGATGGGAGGCAGAATACTGCCCTAGGGAAGATACTGTGAGGGATATTCATGCCACTGAAGTTCAGCTGTCAAGCTTGAGTCTCTAGTCAAACCAATGGAGAGAAGTTGGGTCCTGCAGAAAGCAACTTATAGCATTTATAGAGTTCAGAGTCTGGCTCTACTAGAGCCTAGGGGTTGGTGTCTGAATATAGTAATGCATGGATTTCTGCTCCCTCATTCTCTGTATGTCAAAGGCCTGGCACTTTCATTAGGACCTACACATTACATACATTTATCTTGTATATCACACATACATATTATTTTATGCAGTAGTACAACAGGGAAATTGTATTTTCACATTCTTCTAGTAACAGCTCAAAACACTACATCAACCCATGGGTCTTGTCTTAAAGCTCATCTCTTAAAGCTTCCCCTAGGAGAGCTGTGTTTCACATAATGGAAGGATCAGCTGAGTTCTGCTGGTGACTGTAGTGTCTGATATGTTTAGTTTTTCCACAAGCAGTGTGAGGGAAGGTATCTTGTGTATTAAGGGTAGCTAACTAGAATTAATGAGACTACCAGTATTTTAATTAGCTCTTAAAGAAATAAATGAAAAAAATCCCATTTTAATTTAGTTTAACTTCCAAAACTAGTTGACCTGCTAACTGCTAAGATATGAGGTCATTTCTTGGAAAAAAAAGCACAATCAGTCAGAGCAAAGAGCCATAGCTATTCATTGTATTTCCTGGGGCATGTGGACTGTGATTATTCCCATCAGAGGCAAATGGGCAAAGTCATGGTCCCCTGCTGATTTTCTGGGGACCCCTCTCTGTGCTCAGACTACCACAATCTGCTGGGAGTATCAACTTCCTGGATGAGGAGCAGCATCACTCATGCTGCTGCCATGGCGCAATGGAAATATCCACCTAACAGTGTATGTTCACTGCAGTTTGCTGATCTCTCCCAGTTTGGAACATGACTTTCCTAAAAAACAAAGGCCATTGCACAGTGAGGGGAGTACCGATGGGATGCTTCCTTCTCCTGTTTGCTGCTGAGCTATTGCTGATGGAGATGAGCAGAGTCATTTGACTCAGCCACAACAAAGCTGATACACTAATGATGCAAAAGAGTGTGGCTGGAGTGCCCTGAAAACCCCTGTGAACTAACAGCAGAGCATATTTAGTATGATGCATCTGTCTCTGCTTTACAAATTTTGTCCCACCGTGTCTTCCTTGAGAAGAGGAGGCTCAGATGTGGGCAAGGAAAGAGCAGGGTAACATTGGCATAGGTGTCACAGGATGATGTCCTGCTAGAAGGTGACTGCGCCTACCTAATGGGCTTCTGGCCCCTGCTGTGAGGGGATTGGAGGGAAGGAGAGGAAAGCTTAGAGAAGGAGGAGGAGAGGAGGAGGAAGTCTTTGTGGAGAGGGAGGAAAGACTAGGTTTAAAATATCAAGCCCTTTGAGTCTTTAGGAGCTTCCTGCTGGCTGGAGAGCAAGGGTGGAACAGGGCCCAGGACAGAAAATGTGAGATGTCCTACCGTCTGATGGGCCTGCTTGCAAACTGGGGACTACATCGATTGTCTACAGCTCAAAGGGCCCTGATGTCCCTGAGAGGGAATGGGGGACAGACTCTCTCTGCCTGGCTTGGCTAAGGGCCAAGAAGAGCAGTGTGGCTGCTCCCTGCCTATTGTACTTCCAGGGCTGGCCCTTGTTTCCGTTCTAAAGCTACAACATCATGTGCTTTCTCCCTTTCCTTACCATATTACAGAGTCTTGTCTTTCAATTGTCTCCTCTCTCAAATGAGGACAAGTGTGCAAGGGGAAATGGGACAAAGAAAGGGAAATAATAACAAGAAGGAAGAGGGAGCAGGAAAAAAGTGCAGGAAGATATAGGGGAAGAAATCATGTCTGCCAGAAAGAGGAGGGAGCCAGCAGGGCTCCTCAGCTAGTGGCTAAAAGCGCAGTATAAACTGGGACTGCATTCGCACTAGTGTGTGAAGCTGTGAGTCAGACACATTCCTGCATGCAGTGGTCAAGGCAGCTCTCGGGGGTTGGTTCAGGGGGCAGAGCTCACCTCTCCAGAGTCTGTCTAAGCTGAGACGACACAGACTTGGGAGCAGAAATCCACTTATTCACCAAGTCTGCTGGTTTCCCCGGGCCCAGCAACAAATGAGGAGCTGGTAAAGAGAAGAGACGTTTCCTTCCAGCTGTCAGAAGTTATCTTGCACCTATTGGTCTTGAAGGGGAGGGCAGTGTCCCCTTCTTGGCCCTTTGATGGTTAAGGGAAACAACCGGACAGAGCTTGTGATGGACAAGACCATCAAAATGGACTGGGCGGCTGGAGGTGAGGAATAGACTTCTCTGGATAACCTGTCTATGTCTGATGAACTCTCGCCATTCTTCCCTTGACTGCTTTGCTGTTAAGGCTAGACGTGTCCCATACAGTGAGTGGAGAAGGAACAGGTCTCAGAGTTTGATTTGTTCTTGCTCACCCTACTCAAAGATGTCTTACAACCCTTCCTTCATCAGCGCAAGGCCTGGAGAGGATCCCAAGGGTGGTAGTTTCTTGGAGGAAAGCAGCGGTGGGGGTGATGACAGTAGTGTCCTGGGAGGGGACAGCCTGGTCACGGGGCCACTGGGTGCAGTGCTGCTGGTCATGTGCCTCACTGGGATGGTGGGGAACATCTACACAGTGGCGGTGGCCTCTGGCAGGGTGGTGGGCTACTCAGCAGGCTCCCTGGGGGTCTATGTGATCAACCTTGCCCTGGCTGACCTCCTGTACCTGTCCACCATCCCCTTCGTGGTTTGCACCTATTTTGCCCATGACTGGTTCTTTGGGGATGTGGGCTGCAGGCTTTTGCTCAGCCTGGACCTCCTCACCATGCATGCCAGCATCTTCCTTCTGACTGCTATGAGCCTGGAGAGGTACTGGGCGGTGGCGAGGCCGCTGCAGGCCAGGCGGGTCAGCAATGCTTACCGCAAACTGGCCAGTGCCATCCTCTGGCTCCTCTCGCTCCTGCTTACGGCCCCCATGATGGTGATGACCCAGCTGGAGGGGGACAGGCCCCACAAGCGCATCTGTATCCCCACCTGGACACCAGCAGCTTTCCGGCTCTACCTGACAGTGCTGTTTACCACCAGCATCCTGGCACCCGGTGTGGTGCTGGGCATCGTCTACACCCGCCTGGGCTGGGCATACCGGGCCTCAGCCTGGGGTCTGGGGCTGCCAGTGGCTGGCCGGGCCCCCTCCCGGCGGCTCTTCTCCAGGATCTCTGCCATCGTGGTGGCCTACTGGGCCTGCTTCCTCCCCTTCTGGGCCTGGCAGCTGGCTGGGCTGTACCAGAAGGATGGGCTGGGCATCGGCCCCACTGCCCAGGCCTACCTCAACTTCGGTGTCACCTGCCTGGCATATGGCAACAGCTGTGTCAACCCCTTCCTCTACACCCTGCTTGCCAGCAGCTACCACCGGCGCCCTGGCCACAGTGGGATGGGCATGGCACAGCCTGCAGCACCCTCCCGGCAGGCTGCAGGAAGCCACAGCCTCCCCCTGACTTTCAAGGAGTTGTCAGGGTCTCTGAGGGAAAGCGAGGTGTGAGCAGTGACCCAGGTTGGGCACATCTCCTGGCCTTTGTCTGGGGTCAGGTCAAGAAATAAAAGTGCATCACCTTCCGTGGTAGGATGCAGTGTCTTCTATCATTGTTGCAGTGCCTTCCCCTTTACATGGATGCTCATCCTGCTCATCTGTGGGGAGGGGGAGAATGCTTGTCTTGGGGTTCCTGACTCCATCCTCAAGTCCTTCATGCCAGCCTCCACCTTGCGCAAGGCTGGGGAGTGGGTGGAAGGGAGAAGTCAGCTTTGATACATCTAAATTATACAGCTGGGGAACCCTCGCCACCCCTCACCTCCTTGCTAGCAACGGGCCAAGCCATAACAAATTCAGGACAACAGTGAGTCACAGATTTCACAGGAGCAGTGAGTCACTTCAAGAAGCAGCCACGCTGTCAGGAGACCTGACTAAGGTTCGTACTCCCGTGGTAAAGCTACCACTCAGCTTTCTTCATCCACTCTTCACGAAAAAAATCTTTGAAGAGTTTTTCTAAAGAAAGACTGCCAAGTGCAGTTAAGAGGCATTGTGAGATCTCCACAAAGTACAGCTCAGGGAGGTCAGCACATTTGTTTAGCTTTCAAGATCAGCCCAGCAGGGAAAGCTGCAAGGAGAGAGCTCCACTCTGTATCCATTGTCACAGCTCATGGTGACCTCACCAGCACCATAGCCCTGCTGTGGTCTACTAAATGTACCCCAGTCTGCCAGACTGTGTCAAGACCACTGTGTAAACTCGGCCAGGTCTCTTGCCTTGAGGTCATCTAGCCTAGCATGGCTCAATTCCATACAACTAAACTCTTCTCCACAAAGGATGGCCTCATCCGTATCACCCCATGGGAAGAGTCCCCAAGCTATACTGTCCCCCAGCTATGCCTATGCACAGGGTGGCAAATGTCAAATGTCACATGGACTGTTATAGATGAAGCCCTAAAGAGTGTGATGTGATCATCCAGAGCAGACTGGCTTTGGGCAACACAGGGCTTCAGTGAGATCCAGCTGCAGAGCCTCAAGTTGCTTGTACACCCCAAGTGTTCCTGCCTCTCAGCTCAGCTCTCATCTTCAGCTCTCATCTCTCTCTTCCTCCTCAGCCCCACAATTCCTAGCAATTTAGACTCCCTCTGCTTGAGTACCTAGGACACAGCACCTGGCAGAGCCTCGTAAATTATGAAGTAAGAACAGGAGGTGCTGCTGCTGCTGTTCTCCAGCTGCTCTGCAACTCTTTAATGGATTTGCAGAGCCAGGCCTGCAGGGAATCCTGTAGGACATCAAATTGTTAGTGCTTTATGTTGCTCATGGCCAAGCCTGAAAGTGAGGACACAAAAATTGGGCCTTTTTATCCCAGACTTACCTGGTAACAGCTGTGCACTGTGGAAACAGCAGATCCCACCTTTCCTATGCCCAGCAGGCACAGCATGCCCAACAGCAGTAATCACTGCTGCCAAGGTAGCATCAGACTGAGAGAGCCCCCAAGGCAGCTATGCAGTAACATCAAACATGCCTCATCATCTCAGACTCCTCAGAGTCTAGCCTCAGTTTAGACTGAGAAGTGCTCAGGCTCATTTGGGCTAATGTGAGGGAAGGGGTAACAAAAGCATAGGGCACACATCCTTAGCATCCCACGCCCCAGCTAGGCATTGCTACCTCTCCCAGCTCTGGATGGACTAGGCAAAGCACTCAGGGCACAATAAAACCAGACTCCTCCAGGGTATTGCCCTCAAGTGCCACAACACAACACTATTTGTGCTTCTGCGGCTATTGGAAGAAAGGATTTGGATGAGAAGCCCTCTACATACCCTGCCACACCCAGCAAGGCAGCCTTTTCTACTGCTGTCTCCACGCAGTAGCAAGAGGTCCCAAGATGACATAGGAGAGCTCTGTCATGAGTAGGACCAGCCTCTTCAGAGGGGTACAGGCAAAGCTAGTGCAACTGAGGACTTTCCTCTCGCTCCATGCCCCACCAGGTTTACCTAGCACAGCAACTGAATGCTGTCTGAAGCCAGCCAGGGATGCTTAATTTAGGGAGAGATAGATTTAATCAACCAGTTTTACTCAGGCATGGTAAGGTGTCAGTCCAGACCTCAAGAGTGGATGACTTTGTTTAAGAGACCCTTTCACTCTCCCTCCCAGTCACAACTAGCCCCAGTGTTTCATCCTGAGGATCTCCTTGGACTTTTTAACTTCCATCTTCCATCTTTAATCCTCATCCTCTTCTCCATCCATGGCCAAGGATGACACAATTGCATCCACTTATAGTACCTAAAGTTGGCTACCTTCATCCACCCACTCCTCCAGCAAGATGCCCAACCCATGATGACTTGCAGGAACAAATTAGATTTTGAGACTGGCTAGACCAAAACTCCTGTTTATTAATTGTTTTTTCTGCATCTTTGACATGGAGGCATCAGAGGAAGTTATTCCCAGCTGAGGGATTGGAGCGTGAAGTCCCCTTGTGTATCAAAGTAGTCAAAGACAGCGAGACCAAGCCGGTTAGGGAACGTGAACTGGTGGCCTGGCAGGTGGACTGTCACATCGTTTTGGTTGACACCAAAAGTGATCTACAAGACAAACAGAAAAGTCAAAAGTTTCTGCCAAGACACCCTCAAGCCTTTTCCCTGTACCACCCTCCACTCTGCAGGGTGAACATGCTCAGCAGCATAACCTGTTCTTCAACAGTAGGAGTGTTGTTCTGGTCTCCCAAGAGAGGCCTATTCCCTGCTCCATTCAATAGTAATATCCCTTTTAGCCAGATGGAGCTTGCACATTTGATCCCCACCCTCCATCACGCTCAGAGCCCTAAGTGGTGGCACTGGACAAGCAGGAGAAGCCAGCCACCTCCTGTACAGACAGCCCTGAGACAGCCCCTGCAGTTGAGTGTCCTGTGTCAAACACCCTTCTTTCACCAGAGCATGTACAGAGAGTATATATGTGCATACATATATATATATATATATATGCATGCCTCACCTCTGCTGTGCCCCCTTTCTGGAAAGGGAAGACAGTCTCCCTGTGCTCTGCACCCCACTCTTCCACCTTCTTGGAGTTGCACACAATGGTGTTCACATCACCATGAGCATCAAAACGGGGGTTGAAGTGAAGTCCGAGGTGAGTAGCATCCTTCCCCAGATTCATCACAAAGCTGCAGAGAAAAAAACCCAGACATCAAAAAAAACGGTAATGAGAAACATGCTACCATGGTATTGAACGTTCAGCACACAGAGCTCTGAGTGGAGAGTTGTCCTGCACCCAAAGCAGTTCTCAAGGAGTCAGTTGCTTTCCACAGATTTCCTTTCAGTCCCAAACAGTTAGCTGGTGCCTGACAGCCACTGTCTTCTCCCCATCCTGCAGGCAGCTGAAATAATTACTGCGTGGTCAGCTATCCCGAAGTATCCACAGCGGCAGTGAGAAGAAACTTCCTAGCCTAGCATCCACCTTGCCTCTAGGCCTCTTACCCAGATGAGAGGAGGCATATTATTTGGCAAGAGAAAGCCTGGGAGGCTTCACTCTGACAGTATCAAATTTCAAAGGCACTGGGAAATGCTGGGACCTGTTTTCTGGAACACCGCTAGTGCTGGTACAGTGGCTACTTCCTGCCAAGGGGCTCCATCAGCCACAGACCTGCACAAGGGCTTGGGACTGCTGCAGAGGCTTTGGTGGGGGCACCAGGCACCCCAATTCCTGCACATTTAGGAGTATATTTCCACTTAAGCCAACCTGTCTCCTCACCACCTTCCCTCCTTCCTTCCCCACCAGCACATGAGATGCAACTCCACCATTATGGTGCCCTTGCTCCTGGGCCATCTTCATGCAGGGCAAAGGATGTGGCTGAGTGGATGATCTCAACCCAAATCTCAGTATAGGCACAGCTTGTTTCCTTTACCCTGCACTAGAGAGGATGTGGTCACTGCCAGTGCGTGCAGCTGGAGCTTCACATCTGCTTTGGCTTAGCCCCTTGGCAGTACTGTGTCTGCAATGTGCATTAGGTGATGACTCACTGGGAAGCACTGATGGTGTTAACCCCTTCTCCTTTCCTACCCAAGGGACAGACTCCTTTTGTCCCCCACCAGCAAAAGACAACTCAGTGTGGTGCCCTGGCCATCCCTGGGCAGCACAGCACAGCTTACCTCTTGGCATTTGGTGCGATTTTCCCTTTGACAGTGAGGCGCTGGCCAGGCTTGAGACCCAAGTTGGTGCACACTGGTCCCTGGGGAACATTGAGGCAGAGACATTAGCTCAGTACCTGCTGGCTCACTTGTTCTGACTTGGCAGCTCTCCCTGCTGCCTTGCAAGAGAATGCATTGCTTTGGACCCATGGAGAGACAGGGAAACTCCCTTCCTCCTGGGGCACTGCACCAGGGACATCCCAGAGAAGTTACCTCAATCACATGGGACATGTGCCCAATTTCCCAACCTTTCTCCTGCTGCTCTCATCAGCATATCTGTATTTCACAGACATGAAGTGTAAGTACCTGCACTCTCCCATCACACCCACCCCATTCCAAACACACCCGTGTGCCTTGTGGGTCTCGCATCATCCTGTACATCTGGCTGGCATGGATGGCAGGGATGGAGCCTCCAGTCCCTTCCCCTAGCATGTTTTTGAACTTCAAGCCTTGCCCAGGTCAAAGGGCTCAGATACCTTGTTTCTCAGCTCCCAAGGGCTTGAAGATTTGGGGTTTTTTTTGTAGCTCAGCATTTGCAAGAATATTCTCTTGCTCCACATAGACATCTTTCCCCATCTTCTTTCTAGGACTAAAATTTCCTGGCAAACCTATTTGTATTCATTTGCTATCGCAGCAAAGGCAAGACCCCAAGAAAACTGAAAATCTTTTCCCATTCCACTTTAATAAATAAGTTTGCACTTGGGACAATACCTGCTTAATCACCTTCAGCCTCAGGAAAGATAAATTAATCAAAGAAGTGTAATCACTCTTTTTCTCCAGCAGTCACAGAATGTTTGGGGTTGGAAGGGACCTTGGAGATCAAGTCCAACCCT